ATGCGTTTCATCAAAGCCAAGCGATGGCTGTCATTCTCAAACATGGCTAGGATGGTTGGCATTGGTTGTGAGGGGGGGTTAAAGAGCGCACCCTCTTGGTATGTGTCCCGGGGTCTTGAAAGCACAGGAAAAGGGGAATGAAGGTTACTTGAAGGCGGTTGGTTTGGCTGAGCTAGGGCACCATTTGTCCCTGACGTTTGGCCATCACTGTGTGTTCCATTAATGGCCTTGCTCACGAACTTGGTTGACTGGAGCTGGATTTTTTTGCTCTGGGCTCCTCGGTTATCCTTTGCCAACAGTGATGGAGTAGTAACAGTGCACGCCTTGGTGCTGACCACTGACGTGTGAACTTTGGTTACGTGCTCTACTAAATATTTCTCAGAGGTAAAAAGGAATTTGCATATGTTGCATGCTTTCGGCATTGACTCAGAGCAGAAAAGCACCAAAGGCGATTTTCTCCCTTTCGGACACTGGTGGCTATAGTACAAGTTTTTGTGACTGAAAACTTGGCCACAGATGTCACAGGCATACAGAGCCAAGTGGTGTTTCTTAACAGCACTCTCAGTTAGAAAGGCCTTCTTGCACAGAAAGCATTGATATTTTACTCTTACGCCACTGCAGTGCAGCAAGTGGAGCTTAATTGACTTAAACGGACCTCTGCCGCACACAGTGCACATTACACTATTGGCAGCAGGAAAGGGTGCACATGTCATTTGGGAATCTGGACAGTCTAAAAAATGACCAGAATCATTGGGCAAACTGGAGTTGGAGCGACCATTTGTTTCAGAGTGATCTGGAGGCAGTTTATTAGGTTTAGAGTGTGTCATGACTTCATCTTCAGAAGCAGAGCTTGTTGAATCTTCTGCCATGTCGGAATCACTTTCAGTGCTAAGATCTTCATCATCTGCACCCAGTATGTACGCCACACTGTTTTTAGGCATCTCAGGCTTTATATCAGCTCTCTGTTCAGACCTCAGTGCTGGCAGTGAGTCATGTTGAACAGTATCTGCATTTTGCTGCATTGTCTTCTCATTAGGAGAGCTGTCACTGCTCTGCCTCTTACAAATCAAAGAGGAATCTTCTTGGATAAACTCAGAGTCCGTACAGTGTTTCTCTGCATGCTTGTTCAGCTCCCAGACATTGCTGAAAGACTGATGGCATTTGTTGCAGACAGGTGGCAGATGCGCATTATCCAAGTGTGTAGAGAGTGACGTCAGGCGACGGAAACTAACCTTGCAGATGTGGCATGTGGCTTTGGTATTGTGGCTTTTATAATGTGAAATCAATTTCTTTAAGTTGTGGATGTTCTGCCCACATTCCCAACATTTTGATACCAGGTGCACATCTTCGTCGCTGCTCGAGTCTGCTGACATAACAGTCTGTGAATTTTGAACAGAAAAGACAAAAATCAGTTGAAATAGTCCAGAATATAGCACCTTGTTCCTGCATTTACTTTTATACCTGTGGCCCCAGAGACATGTGGACAATGAGTGGACTAAACATTCTGACATGGTTTGTAGTGACACACTTTGGTTCGCTCAGAGTTCTCTTTAATTGGGCTTCTTCTGTTAGCCATTTAGCATGAAACCAAATCATGGGGAAAAGCTACAAGTTTACCAACTCATCAACTGATTCGGACCGGAGAAAACAAACCACAAGTGTGAACATGCTCCTAAGATTTACAAACACTGTCTGAAATGGCTCAAAAACAAATGGTTGAACCAGATTTTCTAATGAACCATACGCTGGTGAATAAAAGATGGACCGATGGTTAGCTCACAGCACATCAGTGACCGTGAGCTAAAGTTCAGCCTCACACACCTGCTCACATGGCTGCAGGCTTTTCGTTTGTATTTATGATGTGTGAAGACATAAAACATTGTATAGAAGAGACAGAAAAATACATCAATAAGACACTGAAATATTAACCATTGATGAGGCCACAAGATTAGAGTTTTTACAGTAGCCATTTTAGTTTTTTGAAACCAGACTGATGTGAAATGGTAAATGTTAATGGCACTAATGGAAACCAGAATTAACTAAATTAACTTTTTTTAAATCAGGTGATTTGCCTCCTGTTGGCCATTAGATGAGATGGTTCAAGGAATGATTAAGGAACTTAGCTACATCTATCTTTTATATTCAGTTAAAGAGCTTCTGATATGGCAAAAATATAGTGTATAATTTTTAAACCTTATTGTAAAGCAAAGCTGCCCAACTTTTAAAGTATTTGTGGCATTTTTTATTTTATTTGCACAAGTTGGTAGTCTGTACTTGCAGTTTTATGCCCTAATGGAATTAAAGTTAGTTAACCAACTTGCAAGCTTTATTTCAAGAAGAGCGCGAACCCTAAGGTAGTCAAGTGGCAATCTGTGAGGCAGAAAAATTAAGTCGTCATGGAAATGCTAAAAACTAAAGTTACTCTTGTTGCCAGCTGAAACTGGATTATTTTTAGATCCACTTTCCAAACACTCTGGTATTAAAAGTCCTAAATTTGTTCTCAAGAGACAGGTAGAGAAAAACTGTTTTGACTTCCATTAGTTCCCCTGTTTACTGCAACTCCAACATAATATGAATATTTTTGTAACTCAACATCGGGTGGAGCTAGAAGAGGCATCTGCTTCCACATCCATCTTTTATGTGCAGTCTATTGGCTTCCACAACTAAATAAGTTAACTGATTAATATTTATAACTGAACAAACATTTAAATGTCATCTACATAGCTTAATATCTGTTATTATCTGGAAGCTTTGTTGTTGAGTAAACCAAGGTCTTGGCTAGAAAAAAACAAAGCAAAACAAACACAAAGAAATTAAAATCACCCCCTAAAATTCAAGATATTACCTCTCTCCTGTGATGCTCTTCAAAGTACACAGGTTAATAACAAAAATAAAAAGAATAATTCAATTCAATTTTCAATACTTAAAATAAACATACTTTGTTTAGTAATGACTACTCTTCTCACAGGCATCCACACTCCAGTATCACAGTGCCACTTTTCCATTGAACTATCAACATTTGCTGGAAGAAACAACACACGTTCTCTCTTGTGGCTGACTTAATACTATACTAGATGCACTTACCCCGTCCACAAATACCGGTAACAGCAGACGGTTCGTGCAACTCATTTACTGTGAAAATATAAGTAGCTTAACTTGGTATAATGAGCAAATCCAGCTGTAGGTAGGATAAAAAACAGGTCTCCATATTTCAAAGAGAAAAAGAACAATTCACTTTTACATCGGGAAATCCTCCTGTCCTTTATGGCGTCCAAGATCGCTGTTCCGAACTCATCTACATCCGGTTTGAACCGGAAGAGATGAGCCTCCATCTCCCACAATGCATCGATGTGCTTTACCCACTGAGTGGACAAGACAAGGCAACTCTAAATTATTCTTACGATAAATATAAATATTTTGCAGCTTGCTGCTGCAATTTTTAATTTACAGATTTATTTAAAAATAAATCTTTATTGCAAAGCGATCTCATGCTAAATTGCTAACAGAAGAAGCCCATTATTTATTTTATTTTATTTCATTAATTTTTATTGAAAGAAAATTATGAGACACCTTACTTTTTTTCTGAAATCAAGCTTATACACTAAGAAACGTATTCCCCTGCATCTTCTAAATATCTCTTTTTATTCATATATGTTTATATGCATTTTATGTTAAATAAGCAGAGTGAGTGCATGCCTGAACAATGGAGAAGATTTGAAGAACCTGGGTGATGTTAGAGCTGTAGTAACTAGAGAGGGATAACGCTTATACCAGGAAGATATGGGAAATAGTATTTTAAGCTGGGTTAAGAAGAGAAGTGATGGTCAGTGAGCGGAAGTAAGAATTTATGCATAGAAGGAGCACTACAGATGTGATGTTTGCCTTAAGGTAGGGTGTTACAGCAAACAAGAGGAATGAAAGTTTGTAGAAGCAAGATGGAATTCATGTTCGAAAGAGCGAGAGGCAGGTGTAAGAGTGAAGTTGCAAAGAGTAGAGGTAGTCAAGGTAGATGAGCTTAGATATTTGGGGTCATCCATCCAAAGTAAAAGACAGTGCACAAGAGAGGTGAAGAAGAGAGTGCAGGCACGGTGGAGTGAGACAAGTGTCAGGCGTGATTTGTGTCAGATAGAGGGCAGCAAGAGCGACAGGGAAGTGACACCTGTCATGATGTATGGCTTTAAAAAAAGAAAGACAAATAAGATAAATGAACCAAAACAGTTAAACAATGTGAAGCAAAGGAGAAGATCATAAAGATATATTTTCCTTATTCATTTATAATATTATCCTTCCAGATGTGTTTAGATCAGTGTCATATTAAAACAGTGTTTTTTTTTTAATAACATTAAAAAAATTACTAGTTGAAATTGAGATTGTGCTGCAAGTCCTTGACGATAAATAGATTAACTTATAAATTAAACAATTCAATAGTTTTTTTGGCTAGGAGCTGAGCATGCCGTTTTTCTTGTTTTTTTTATGAAGAGAGAAAAACAAAACAAAACACAAAATACTGCGGGTTTACTTAACCCGAGATCAATCCAAATGATTGCATAATTAAATAGTCAAAGTCAAGTTTTATTCAAATTTTTAAAAATGTGACTCATTTTTGAAATATAGATTAAAATGTTCTTGTGTAACAGCTTTATCAGATTTAATTCATTCATCCATTTAAAAATGAAGTCAAGTCAATAAAGTTTAATTTGACTTTGACTTGACTTCATTTTTAAATTAGGATGAAACTATGAAAAAATCTGTGTTACAGCTTTCATTGCTGGGGAAATTTCAGATTTCAAAACAATGATTAAAACGTTTATATTATATTATATTATATTATATTATATTATATTATATTATATTATATTATATTATATTATATGTGTGATAAAATAGTTCCTGACGGGGGAACTAGTCATGTTTTAACTGTGTTTCAAATCGACTTCTTTTACATGACGAACAAGATGCATTTGTTTTGTACAAAAGAGATTTCCAGGCGGGTGGAACATTATCGCTTTTCTTATCCGCTCAGTTGAACCGTACACGGCAAACGCCAAGCCACGAAACAAACACTTCACCAGGAAGCCTTGGCTAGCGTTGTTTATAACCACCATTAGGGTTGACTTATAATGATAGCTTCTAGCTAATTTTTACGTTTAAATGTTAACGATATTAAAAGCCATACCTTGAGACGTCGGTATTAGAGGTCTGTCTTTTAGGAAACAGAATTTTAATTATAAATAATAGCTTTATCTCGGCTCTACTACCCGTCGTTTACAAGCTTTCTTTAAACATCAGCTGTTCCAGGTGAGTCGCGATATGTCCGAGTCCGGTCACAGTCAACCCGGCATGTATGGGCAAGGGCGCAGGAGGAGGCGACGCCGAGGGGACAGAGATGTTGGCCCTCCGGGGCAAAATCTGTCCGGACCCAGTCGAGATCGGGATTACCAACCGAGAGAGCGAAGGGTACTTCAAACGATATGCTGCTTTGGCCTCTGATTTTATCTTCTCTACATCAAAATACTCACTCTAATCATTTTCTTTCCAGGATGGAAGCGAGGATCCACCAGGTCCTCTAATTCAGAAGACCCCCATCATTCTTGCAAAACCTCCCGGAGAAAGGGTAGGTGGGCTTGTCTTTGAGACCACAAACTATAGTCTACAGTTTAAATTTGTGAGGTATCATTTTGCTTACTCTAACCGAATAGGAAGAATAGCCAAAATCAAAGAATATTCACAATGCCAGAACAAAACGAGCCATGCTTGTTTCTGCCTACGAAGCACTTCCATCTCCAATTCGTGCTGTTGTTTATATATTCTAAGGCTAAGCCCTCACAGAATACACCTGCCAGTGGAACACCAGTCCTTGAGAAGCCCATCATGCTAATGAAGGCCAGGGACGATGGAGTGAAGCCAGGGACACCTACTGAGTCGGCTGCACAGTCCTCTGGTCCACCCTCTAAGATAGAGAGGGAAGGGCAGCGACCTACTCAGCCTGTATACCAGATCCAAAACAGAGGAATGAGTGCTTCTGCATCGAGCAGTGCATTGGACCGTGAGTTGTTATAGACTCTACAAAAAGACATTTTATTTTCTTCTCCAAATGCAAAAGTATGTTCATGTGCAATAATTAAGGCTACAAGCTTTCATGTGACTTCCAGCCATGGTTGGGCAGTCCAAACTCCTTCCTCCGGAGAAAATGAAGCACAGCATTAAACTGGTGGATGATCAGATGAATTGGTGTGACAGTGCCATGGAGGTAAATCCATAGCATATAATACATTTAGTTGATTTTGCAGATTTAAACAGTGCTTTCAGTTTACTTTATGATATGTGGTCAAAGGAAGCTGAGTGATGTTGTTGTGATGTGTTGCAGTATTTGAGGGACCAGACAGACATGTTGGTGGTGGGAGTTATTGGCTTGCAGGGAACTGGGAAATCCACCATCATGTCGCTGTTATCTGCCAACACTCCTGAGGAAGATCAAAGGTAAGGTTAAAGAATAAGATCAAGATGTAAAGTGTTCTGCACTACACACACTACTGAGGTTTTTGCAGACACGTGACAACTAAATATACGGTGTTCAGTTTGGACCTGTGACAATCATGCTGATGGGTTAGGATGAAATGAATGGGACACCAGTTAGAGACCATTCCACACCTGTATAGCACCCACTGGGAAAAATCTGTATTTCCTGGATGGAGGTTGGCAGCAGTTGCATTGAAATGATTGCCAAAGTTTCAGTCACACCGGACTAGATACTATTTCATGACTCGCATTTAAAAATTTGGAGTCCCTGATGGTTTGGCAAAAACCTCCTTGTTGAGCAATATCCGCATGACTCACGTGAGAAATCTCAGTAGTGTTTTGGTTTGGGCCAAACTGTCATTCACATAGGCTTAACTGGTGATTTTTAAATTGCAGAAGGTTTGGATTTGAAATGATGAAAGTGCTTAATTACACTAAAGACAGGAAAAAGGTCTTTGGTTTGTCTTAAAGCACGTTGAGTGGTCACTGATAATAGAAAAGGACTCTATAATTGCCATTCACTTAAATTGATCCAACACACAAACTGTAGGGAACGGTGATGTGATGTGATGGCTGAAGCTCAAGAGGTGGCGCATTTCATTTACTATTTAGAAGGTTATTGGTTTAAACCCTAGGTGCTCCAGTCTGCATGCCAAATATCCTTGGGCAACATACTTATTCCTAAATTCCTCTCCGATGCATCCATCAGAGTGTGACGCACATAACCCAGGAGGTGCCCAGGAGGCACTTTCCCTTATTCAAGTGAAATGCCTACTTAGGTTAAGGGGGAATGAGGTAATACAACAGTAGAACTTGTCTGAATATATTTTATCCCTCCCATCAAAACACAGAACATCTAGTTCCCAACCACTGAGCCGTGGCACATAGGTGTGTCGTGTAAGATTATGTGGTTCCACTCCCGCAGGGAAAAATTATCAATATGCTTTTTGTAACATTTTGTTTGGTGGTGTGCCATGTGATTTTTCTAATGTGAAATATACTCAATATAATACTCTATATTTGTCTGATAATTACAGATGCATTTCTTTTTTTAAAGGATCAATGCGAGTACTTTAATAATTAATTTGAGAAAAATCCCTTGAACAGTTCTTTGGAGGTGATATTGAATAAAAACGTGTGTTTGTTTGAACAGGAGTTTTGTATTCAGACCCCAGACTCAAGAAATCAAGGAAAGAGGCGGAAATCAGAGCACAGGGATTGATTTCTTCATCACACAGGAGAGGGTTATCTTCTTGGATACACAGGTATGAATGAAGTATTGTGATTAGAATGACAGTTTCTACGGTTTACTGTAGTATTTTCTTTTTGCTGTCAGAATGTAAGTTGGTACAAACTGTCTGTAATGTTAACCTTGGAACTGCAAGATGTCTAACTGTGGTTAAGGATTTGTTGTGCTGAAGCAACAACATGTTTCACTGTGTTTAAATGTCGTTCTTCAGCCAATGCTTAGCCCATCAATTCTGGATCATCTTATCAACAATGATCGGAAGTTACCTCCAGAATACAATCTTCCTCATACATATGTTGAGATGCAGGTATGTGGCTGGCCTGCGGAGGACAGTATATAATAATATGAATGCTGGTGTAAACACCTGTGAACTTTAGTTTTGGGATTCATTGTTTGATGTTGGTTTAGTGATCGTATTTATTCTTTTCTACAAATAAAGCATGTTTGTACTCTCTGTATAATTCCTCTACAGTCTCTTCAGATCGCTGCCTTCCTGTTTACAGTGTGTCATGTTGTAATTGTGGTTCAAGACTGGTTCACTGATTTGAACCTTTACAGGTAAGTACTTTAGGTCTGCAATGGACCTGTGCTCTCAAGATGGTTGTGATTATAATTTTGAAGCCCAATACTCTCAAAGGAATGCTGAACATTTCATGCTATATCTTAAAAGGATATTTGTTTTTGCTTTTTCATAAGCTCAGCAATGTTGTTCTTTCAGCCAGTCTGACATTTTAAACAGGCAAATCCAGACCTGTGTAAAATGTCAGACTCCATGCCCATCTAACATGTGCTGACATTTATTACCTTTTAATCCATTTGGATCAGTTCATGACTCATTTTCTTCACACAGCATAAAAACCAATCTGAGCAACTCTGGCTATGTGATTAAAAACCTTTTCCCTGTGCATAGCATTCTTGCCTTATGCTGAAAATATTGCCATTAAAAGCAGGTTTTCACTAACTTTGTACATAGCTTAAAATGATATCTCTGTAGTAGAAAGCTACAGTTTTAATCAGCACAAATATTGATATGATTATGTATTGTTTTGGCTTCCTTTGGTGAAAAATCAATGTCAGATTACCAAACAATGTTTTTACCAGGGTTATTGCCAAGTAGCATCTCACACTGGCACAGCAAGAAATTGGCAGATTCTGTATATTTACATATGTAACTATCCAAGCAAATTTTACCTGTACTCTTTCCACTCAGTAAAATGATCTAATTCTCATTATTATTGCTTCTTGTGACACAAATTGATTCCACAGCTGAAGTTATAATATGGTGTCACCTTTATGGACAGGTTTCTTCAGACTGCTGAGATGCTGAAACCTTCCACACCATCTGCAAGCCACGACAGCACCGGCTCTTCAGGCAGTGATGACGGAGCAGAGTATTATCCACATATAGGTGGCTGTTTAATGCTGACGCGCTATATTTGACACACAAACCAAATTTAAGCATGTCAAAGTTTAAATTTCTTTCTCCCCCAGTTTTTCTCCAGAACAAGGCCAGACGGGATGATTTCTGCCCAAGAAATCTGAAGAACATGCATATGGTGGTCGATAAATTAATGGCTCATTCTCACCTCAAATACAAAGGTGCAAAACTACAACAAATTTCTCTTTATGTTAATGTTTTATGTGTAAGTAGTAATGAATGCCAGTAAGGGAGCTGGGAAAAGAAAATGAATGTGATATGGTGGCAAAAAAAAGTTAAGTAAATGCTAAGAAATTATCTACATTTACAGTACTGTGCAAATCTTGAGTCACCCCTCAAAACATGAAAAAAAAAACATGAATGGAAATGCAGTGTATAAGGAAAATACGAAACGTTAAAGTCAGTATTTGGAATGACTACTTTTTCTCTCCTGAACTCTCTTAGGCAAGCTTTGTTATCATTTCTTTAAGCAGTCTTCAGGAACTGTTCTCCACATTTATTGAAGGACAGTCAAAACTCTTCTTTCGACGTTGGCTGACTTTTGTTACATTTTCTCTGGATGATTGCAAACAGTTTTAATTATTTTTGATGTCCAGGTTCTGGGGAGGCCAATCCATGACTGATATAGGGCTGGGCGATATGAGGAAAATCTAATATTGTGTAATTTTTTTACTATATCAAGATACTTGATATATATCGCGATATGTTTAAATAACCTCCAAAACAAGTGTCATTTTCAATCATGCAGTGCCAAAAATGACACTGGTGTACTCATTTAATTTTTTTCTACAAAGAATCTGAATGAATTGAAATGTTTTATTTTAACAGTAACCATCAGTTTCATACAGGGATTTTTCACAAATGACTATGCTGTCACAGTAAGTCTCTTTCTGTGGTCAACACTAGACCTTTAACAAATAAAGATCAAAGCAACACAAAAAAAACTTTGAGCAATAATTCACGAGACAAAACAACTGAAATTAAAAAGGTGCTCCTTTGTGCTTTACAACATATAAAAAAATGTGATGACCTCAAATTATAGAGACAAAAGTCTACATAATGACTATAAAAACGACTGACCAAGAACAGTCACTGTTATCACAGATGGTTTATTTGAGGTTTTCTTTGGTGTGGGGAGACGTTGACATGCAGAGTTTAAATTGGTCTTAATTTTGCAGTTGAACTTGTGGTACTGATACCTTTAGGGGCATAATTTTACAGCATGATTCGCAAATTACCCCATTTTGTTTGGCATCCTCCTTGTGAAAGTCAAACAACAGCGAGTCTCATTCCCTCGCTCATCCGATATTCATGCTGTTGCTATTTTTCCTTATCCAGGAGTATATAAAGACATATCCTCAACGCAGTTGCTGGGTAGAAGAATTTCTGGGTGGGGCGTTTATAGCGCCCACCCCCAGACTGATAGTGTTCCTGTGAGTGTTTTTCTAGCCAGGTATGCTTTTATGGCATTGACAGTGTGTTTGGGATCATTCTCCCATGATCAATGTCAAAATTAATCCTTTTCTGCATTCATAACTCTATCAACACCACTGGCTGAAATACCTCCTCAAACTATGACCCTCTACCATGTTATACAGATGGCTGTAGACAATCACTGTTGTGCCTCTCTTCTGACCTCCATACATATCAGTGATGATTTAACCCAAAAGTTCTAAATGTTCATTCAGGAGTGGTAAAAGGCTCCATCAGGTTTATGGTGTTTCTAGATGAAAACCTTTTGTTTGCTTTGTACTTGTGAGCAAAATGACATTTTGTGACTGTTCAAAGGTTTTTAGTGAATGTGTTTGGTTTTGTAGTCCTGTAAACAAAGCATCACTTCTGAAGTGGATTAACAGGCTGGCCACGACTATAACATGTGTTTTATTCTCAGGAACATTATCCATGCTCGACTGCAATGTCTTCCCAGGCCTGGGGCAGGACTATCTGACAGCCGAGGTCAATATGTTCTTGCTTCCTGTGCAGGAAAATGACGGGGAGGATAATTTGACCAAAGCAGGTTACAAACATTTATTCTTCTCATAAGGTAAAACTCAAGTGACCTCTCGTGTGTTGTGTGAAAAATAAATGAATCTTTGTATGTTGTTTAGGGTCAGGAACATACCCACTGTTCTCTCTGCTCCCCGGCTATAGAGGACACCCGGCCTTTTCCACCATGGTTTCAAAACTCCGCAGCCAAATACTGGCCATGCCCCGCTGTCAGCTGTCACACACTATTCTCACTGAGAAAAACTGGTAAACATCATATCAGTACTATTTATTTATAAATGAATAATTATTTTATTCATATTCCACTATTTAAAAAGTGTAGGTGACTAATCTGTGGAAAAAAAGTGAGACAACCAAGTATAAATGAGGAAATACATCCTGCACCCAGGGTGAGAATCAGTTTTATGTTTTAAACTGGTTTGCTCAACAAAGCCATCATAAATGTCATTGTTTTTGAACTCCCATAGAAACAGTTTTTAATCCCTGTGGAAGAAATGCAAAATATCTATTAGAGATGAGGGGGTCTCTCTGCTTCCCTTTACTTTCAGTGACTTCATCCTGCTGTCTTTTTGTTTTGTTTTTTGTAAACAACAGAAAATGAGCGCTGGTGGTTTGTTGTGAAATAGTTTTCTGAGGCATGGTGCAACTTGCTGCATGTACCTTACAAGCACAAAACTTTCAGAGTAGTGAAAAATATTTCTTGCTGTGGGATATCAGGTTAATTTTTTTCTGAACATGCTTAAAACAATATCAATTGAAAATGAAATAATACAGTGAAAAGAAACATATATTTCCATGCCATATAAAGAAAGTAAAAGTGTTAATAATTAAGGTTGGTGCAGAAATGCATACAATTTGGATTTTTTCTTCTTTGTACAATGTCACTGTAATTTTGTGAAATCTTGAGACATTATTGGGATTTTGTTTAAGTTTATCCCTCTGTTTCCTGTCTTAACTTTCATTGTTTTCACAGGTTTCACTATGCAGCTCGTATCTGGGATGGTGTGAAAAAGTCCTCGGCCCTCTCTGAATACAGTCGTCTGCTCTGCTGACACGTGTTGAACTGCTCTTATGTACAGTTTTATTTCACTGATCAGATCACACAAAGACGAAAGAAGTGCAGCTGAATGGGATGTTTAAAAAAAAAAACATCACTGGGGCATAAAATAAATATAATTATTCAGACTTTGAGTCCTGCTTGTTCTATAGTGTCCTGGGACTGTCCACAGGAATTCTGATAGTTACAGATAAAGTTACAGCCTGTGCAGAGGTGATGAGCGGGAAAAGAAAATGTCTTCTCTCAGCAGATCTCTAATAAAAATGTGAGAATAGTTTTTAAATTCAAGTCATTCTTGACTGTGTTTCAGTTTTGATGTACTGATACTTAACCTGTTTTATAAGGTGAAAATACAAATTTCTGTCTTGTTATTACCTTTGTAAAAAGAGTATGGTAAACATGAAAGAGAGAACTGGTGGGTCTGGTTTTTTTAAAGATATGTTGTATTGTAGAACGCATGTAGCATGAATAACAGTCAGTTTTGTTTTTCATTCAGTGCCACTAGAGTGGTTGCATGGTTAAAACATACTCTGCTGACAACTGAAACAGTCACTGGTTATCAAAGAAAAAAAAACCAATTCATGTCCGTTCTAAAAGAAAATGTTTTGCAGCCTAAATGCAGCCTAAACATATTTTAGCAATAGAATGAAACGACTTTAAAGAATATTCCATCAAATATATGATACAAAAACCATCAATTTAATAACACTAAAACTTCAGCTGTGAAAAGAAGCATATATATAGCCACCACAAAAATCAATAAGGCATTTTATTATCACTAAAACTTCAAATAAATAAACAAACTGGAACTAAACAGGTTTTTAAACTAGTTTTAATAGATATTATTCTTCCTCATACATATGTTGAAATTCAGGTATTCTATGTTTTTCTGTCAGTCCTGATGGGACTGACAGAATAGATGTTATTTTAACTTTGGAGATTTCTAACTAATACCAATTTAATTATCTAGATATAGGTTCTATGAAGTCTATTCATATATACATACATGCTGTTTCAAAGGCTTGTTTTTGATAGTCAGGTTCTTTCATTGTCAAAGGAGGAGTTAAGGAGTGGTCACAGCAAGAAGACCACTTCCCCCCAATAAGAATTACTTATAAACTGAACAGAAACTAAACAGAAATTCACTTCTATCTGACCATCACACAATGCAGATCCTTGTGCTGATCCTTGGGATGGTACTGCTCCCTAAAGGCAAGTTTTTCTTCAGTTATCTGTTCTTTAACATTTTTAAACCAGCAAGTTCTGTAATATTCAATGAAATGTTTTCTTTTTTAATGCTTTTACAACAAGTGTCATTACATCTTTATAAAGGGTTGTCTATGTTCTACAAATGATTGTACTATTTATTGTACTGTTAGCCATCTATTTTTCAAACTGTTTTAGTGAATATTTTAGAATATGTCAATGCATTGAAAGCAAGAGAAAGTTTACTTGTCTTTATCTTTGTTTTATCAGCCTGTGCTTTGAAATGTTACGAATGCATACCGGACCTCTCTGGAAGCTGCACTCAGACGACAAAAGAATGTCCTTCCAACACTCAGTGTGGATCAGTAAGAGTGACTTCATATGCAGGTTTGATATTTTATAGTTTTTATTTTATTCTTCTTTTGAACTGGTTCCGTTTTCAATGGTTCGTCTTTTTGTTGCAGGTGGTTCAAAACTGGTTGATATTAAAGGTAAAAGTTGTGCTGCGGCTGAGGAGTGTGTTCAGGCCTCAATCAACTTTGGAGGCGCCCAAACTCTAATTACCAGCAAGTGTTGCACCTCTGATCTTTGCAACTCTCAAGATGCCCCTGGTAATTTCTATCATGCTTCTTGGTATTTTGAAATGTAATTTCCTGTCCTTGAAACTTAAAAAATAAAAAATCTTTTTATCAAATATGTTGAGAAATTTAAAAGTGGGTGAATCGTCGTATTCGCTTGAATAGATCAGGGCAAAATAATCAATCTGTGAAAATTTTCTGATTGAAAATTCTCAAACAAACATATTAATAACATAAATGGTTTTTCTTTTGTTTTCTGTTGGGGGTTTTTTCCAAGCTGATGTTTTTGGCACTTAGCTAAAACAAGGAGGGGAACAAATATTACAAATATTTCTGTATTCAACAGAGGGCAGCATCTCTTCTCCAAATGGGAAAAAGTGCTTCCAATGTGTTGGAAACGATTGCACACAAACTCTAAACTGCAACGGAAATGAGGACCACTGCATCTCATCAGCAAGTAATATACCGACAGGATTCAGTGTCTGCATGTTTGTTCTTTTCTGCTCAGACAAATGTTCTGTTATTCCTTCCTTTCATTTCCTCAGTGACTGCAGGAGGACAAAAGGTGACTGTAAAGGGCTGCGCTTCCAAGCTGATTTGCTCAAGCACACAATCTGCACAGATCACAGGAATCACTGCAGCAGAAATCAGCTGCTGCCAGGGTGACCTCTGCAACAGTGCTGGGATGACAACAACATCACAGCCCAGTAGTACAACTGCTGGCACTACAGCTGTTGGCCGTCTGCTCTTTGTCACAACGCTGATCTCTCTGGTCTTGTTCTCTTAGCTGATGGAAACAACAGCATCACATCCCAGCTTTTCATACGACTGTCACAATGTTACCTCCCATTTCACCAGACCTTAAAAAATAATTGAAAATTTTGTAACTAAACATAATTTTCGGTTTGTGGAAAAAAATTAACAAATAAATTTCTTAAAATCCTATATGCATCTCTGTTTCCTTTAAATCTCAAAATCATTTTGCACGCACATTTAAAGGTTATCGTAAGGAGTCAGTGAGACATTTTCCTGAATTAATAGGAAAGTAAAATACAAATATGGTGGATTTTGACAATTATGTGTAAACAGAATAGCACAGAGTTAGTGAAGGAGTGCTTACAGTGCAAAATGTACTCATTATTCTTGAACTGTCACTTACCAACTGCCTTTCAAGTTTGTGTGACTAACACACAACCAGATGATGATTTAGAGTCAAAAGTGTAAATACACTCATCGTGGGCATTATTGGTCCAGCTAGGTTTGGGTGATTTGCATTTTTTTTTTGCAGATTGTATTTACTCTAATATAATCTATTTACAGTATTTATATTATAATATATTATATTATAATCTAATTTATTATATTGTATTATATTATATAATAATCTAATACAAACTCATATAAGATTTGTTTGATGTTCTGGCATAAACACACATATAAATACATTCTTAAAATGTATGTGTACGCGATAGTCAATATTATGGGTTATCAAATGAATAAGACATATAAAGAAAATATGGCTGAACTAATCTACCGATCCGCGGTAACTCGTTAACGGAGATTTGCCGCGTTATGGCGTTAATATCATTTTAATGAGATTAACGCTGACAGCACTATTGGGAACACAACAAATATGACTGCACATTTACGTCGACATCATCCTAGTGCAAAGGCAAGTGGAAGCAGACAAAAACAAAAAGCACACATACTACAAACTTTACCCGAGTCATTTAGACAGCCATTAGCACATGATTCTCCTTATGGGGACCTGATATGTTTAACATGCTGCTGAGAATATAGCCCAGAAGAAGCGTATAGTATAGCTTTTATTTTGGAAAGCGACATTTCTCTGTAATAAACTCTCAGAGAGTATTCCACCCCTGTATGTGTCATCAATTTGATTGATGGCCCTAGCCTCCCTAGCCTTGACCTTTTGACCTCACCGGAAGTGTACTCCGGAAGTGTGTAATATGATCCATAAGTGCGACAAATTGCATCCAGAAAGGGGGTGGGGGTGGGGGGGTACTCCGGAAGTGTGTATCGGATTCCATACTCGTGACTAATCACACCTGTTGTGAAAAAAAAAAAGTTTACTCCCTTAGCGTTAGGGGGATCTGTGGAGGGAGGAGAATAAAAACAGAGAGGGGCCAGCACTTTTCTATGCACAGACAGCAACATGGAGCCCTTCATTCTGCAGCCCTGCATTCCTCTGTACTTGTACGGGGAAGAGATCTGGGGATCAAAGAGGGAGGGGTATGGTTCCTGGGGGTGACGCATCAGGCGTCTGTTGAGTCAGTGCTGTATAGAGAGACAGAGCGGCAGTTAGTTTTCCACAGACAAACTCATAGTTTGAATTCTGTTTAAATATTATAACAATGTGATCTTTTTTCTCAGTAAAGAACTATTTCTTTTTACAATAGCGGATGTATTTTACTTTCTTATATTACAGACGAAATAAAAAACCTTTAAGATTATCTGACTAGTAACGGAATACATATATATACATATGTACACATATATAGTGCCGGGTGGAGGCAAGCTACACCATTGCTTGTACGTGTGAAAAAAAGCACAGCGCACATATTGAGAACTTGAATAAGATCCGTCGATTCATCCCGGTAAATTGCCTCCGAGAGATCGGGATGCTTCCTCCGTCTCGTACCATAAGCGTATGAGAAAAACCCCATTATTTTGGTAAGAGTGAGAGAGAGAGAGAGAG